CTCCCTCTTCCTGCTCCAAAATTTTAGGGGGAAGAAAAATTCAAGTTGTAGTTGCCTTCTCCCTACCGTCCCCTGCCCCCATGGTGATTAACACAAGGAGCAGGTTGAGGAGATTGCACTTGAAAGGAGGGAGTGATTTTACCTTGATAATCCCTTGATTCTGGTATGCAAAGAGCCCAGAGCAAAAGACTGAGCAGAGAGGGCAGGGGCCAGTTTCTTAGCCACCAGATCTTCAAAGGAAAGAAAATACCCTGACGTATGGAGGACCCACTGAGTGCTCAGTCTGTACCTTCTTATGCTGGAGGTACTAGTCTTAGCCCCATTTCACAGGCAAGAACACCGAAGAGTCTGGACATTAAGAAACTGACCCCAAACCAGATATGAAGAGATTAAGGAGGACTTCAATGCAAATCAGCCTGAATTACAACATATTCACACGTTGCCACCCAATGTTCCTTTAAGCAGAAAGGAGGCAACCCACCGTGGAGAGGAGGCAGTGTTGAAGCCATCGTCAAACCTAAAAAAGGAAATTGCTTTTTTCATTGTATTGTTTCTGACTGATGGAGTCCCGTTGGGTGACAACACTGTGTGTGATTTAGGGGTAGAGGTGCACCCTTCACATATATGTTACCATACCACACCACCCCCGCAGCACCCATAACCCCTACCACAGTCCATTGTAACTTATCCCCACTCACACACTATCCACCCCCTCTATAACCTCAATTCTACAGCTAGATTTCTAGGGTTTGTTTTGATTGAGTTTTGTCCATTTCCTTGTTTTGTTTCTTTCTACTCTACATGTGAGTGAAATCATCTGGTATTTGCATTTTCCTTCTGACATTTCACTTAACATAATCCTCTCCAATTCCATCCATGTTGCCACAAATGGCAAGGGTTCTTTTTTTTTTTTTTTTTTTTTTTTTGATAACTGAGTAGGATTCCATTGTGTGTATCTACCAGTCTTCTTAATCCACTCATGTGTTGATGGGCACTTAGGTTGTTTCCATAACTTGGCTATTGTAAATAGTGCTGCAATGAAAACAGGAGTGCAGATATCTCTTCAAATCAGTGTTTTTGTATTCTTTGGAGTGGAATTGCTGGATCATGTAGATCTATCTTTAATATTTTGAGAAAGCTTCATACTGTTGAAAAGGGGAATTTTTTTTCTAAATAGAAGTGTTTACTATCTAGAAAATCACATGGAAATCATGGAACAGAGAAGTGAAGCCTCATGCTTCCCATCCCCCAGGGATATCTGCACATGTTTATCCAATTGTTCCAGCACCATTTGTTGAAAAAACTATTCTATATCAACTGGGTTGCCCTGGCACCTTTGTCAAAAATCAATCGATGACCATATGTGTGGATCTATTTCTGGAGTCTGTTCTGTGCCATGAATCTATTAGTGTATCTTGTCAATACTATATTGTTTTCATTACTATTTGTAATTAGGTTTGAGATTGAGATTTGGGTCTTTCAACATTATTTTTCAAAGTTGTTTAGGCTTTGTAAGTCTTTTCCATTTCCATATGGATTTCAGAATTAGATTGTCAGTTCCTATGAAAAAGCTTGCTGGGATTTTGATTGATTTGAACCTATAGATCAATTTGCGGAGCATTGACAAGTCCTTGGATTCACAAACATGGTATACCTATCTGTTTAGATGCATCTTATTTAATCTCTCTCAGCAGTGTTTTGAAGTTTTCATTGAACCAGTTTGCACATCTTTTGTATGAGATTTATCCCTAGATAGCTTAATATGTCTCAATCCCAATGTAAGTCTATTTTAAATTTAAATTAACAGTTTATTGCTAGTATATAGAAATATAGTTGATATTTGTATATTGATCTTAGATCCTGTAATGGTGCTGAACTGACATCAGCCCATTCAAAGTTGTCTGACTGGTGGCAAGTGGCAGTCAGCATTGATGGACCTGAGGCACTGCCACATCCTGAAGGAGAATTAAATTAGGTAATTTTTTTGGTCCACATTATAGGATTTTCATTCTCATAGATATTATCTGTGAGTAAAGACAACTTTCTGAGGGGCAAGGAGGCTTTGTTCTAATAAGCTCCACCCTCTAATTGTTTAAGGAATGAAGGCCAATTCAAGATGAGGATGGTCTAGGTCTCAAATTATCCTCTGGGCTGCAAATCCACTGTTCGAATGGTTTTTATTGATGCTGATGTTAAGATGGATAAGTCAATTAATACTGGTGGACTCTCCTCATAGATTACTTGATTATCTTCATTCACCATAGTTGAACCCAGATGTGGCTAAGTGAAGGTAAAATATGCAGTCTTGGGTTAGAAAAATGTCCAAAAATCCTTTTCACCAAGTACCACCTGTACTTAGTCCAACCTCCATCTGTGAAACCTCCCCCCTGGTCCTTTTGTCTCATCCCCTCCATAGAGCCAGATTGTAAAAATGTAAACGATACTTTTCCAGGCCCTACTCAGACTGTAATCCAAATTCCTCTCAGGCCTAGCCCTCTCAGCCCTCCGGGTACTACTTCCTCACCATTCCCCACTCTACCCCTCTCTCTGCTGGAAGCTCACTCCCCATGAGCCTCGACCCCTCCTCTCCAGCTCTTGGTCACTGACTGTAACAGATGCTCACTCAGAGCACTCTAGTTGTCCTGCTTTGCACCCACCGGTTTGTCATTGAATTTTACACTAAAGATGTGCAATGAAAACTAGGATAATGGCTATTTTGTTTACCCCAACCTCTTAGAAATGCCTGGCAAATGGTAGGCACTCAATAGAGTTTGAGTAACTGTTGGAACTCTCTTTACTTACATCACATGTCCATCCACTCCCCCGCAGTCTCAGTGAACGACCTTACAATATAGCTTAGTTGTCTCTCTTCCCTTAAAAAGGTGGATTAAAACTGTTAGCTGTGTATTCAAACTTCCCCAGGTGATTCCAAAATAATCCTAATGCTCAGACCTCCCATTACCCCTCTGAAGTCCAAGTCTCTAGGGAGAGGGCCAGGTACATGTGTTTTTTTGTAGCTCTCCTGAGCATTCAGAAGTGCATCCAGAACCGAGAACCTCTAGATTGAAGGAACAGCTTCAGTTCTTCAGCCAACTGATGATAAACCATGGATGGGCCAACAGGTGAGGTAGGTGAGGCACCTCACATGGACGCCCCCCAGCTCAGCCTCCTGCCAGTCATACCTTGACCCCGTGCTCTCTCTGTTCCAAGGTAGCAGGGGGAAAAAGAAGGAAGCCAGACCAGAGTGGAAAGCATTTTCAAACTTTATTTACAACTGTCACAGTGACAAAAAGTAGTTCGGAAAAAAAAAATGCTAGTTTCTCCCTGAGCCTCAAAAAAGAACAGATAGAAGTTACAAGAGGTTCATCTTACAACAGGCATTTTTACTGAAATACTAGGGTTGTTTTTTCTTTTTTCAATACGATCAGTTAGAAATACACACGAGTTACTTTAAAAAAAAAAAAAAAAGAGGCCAGACAGGAGCTCAGCCACTTGTTCAAGAGCAGCTGGGTCCCCCTGACAGGCTCACCGCTGAGGGTCCTGACTTAGCTGTCGGCCCCTGGCCTGCTCAGACTCCAAATGGTCATACGAAGGCGTCTAGCGACCAGCAAAAATAATAAACCACCCCCATAAACACACATATACACAAAGTAGATTTGTTATGCAGTTTACAAGCACGTTCCCAGCAAAGGGCAAGACCAGGACAGGTGATAGAAGGGAGCGCATGAGAGGGGCACACAGAAACACGGACTCTCAAAGGCAAGACCCCACCCACAGGGAGAGGCGCGATGAGAAATGCTGCTGCAGGGAAGGAGAGTCGGGAGGGAAGGCTCTCTGCAGCCCAGGCGGCACAGGGAGCAAGAGAGAGGAACCCTCGCAGTGCAGCTGCAGCCCTCTCCCGCTCCCAAGAGGAGCTGGGAGAAGTTATTGCCATCGGTGTGTGTCACACAAGCAGACAACACAGAGGACAGGAATGGGGGTAAGGGGTGAGCGTTGGCTTCCCAGAATCCAACCTCCTAATGCGTCCACGGCACACCCTCCTCCTGCTCCCCCACCACGCCCGGAGCCACACTAACCTTGAGGTATTAAACACAATTCTACATGCAAATCCCAAACTGGGGTCCATCTGGACTGACTGAGGTGCATGGGGACAAAGAGGGTGCCTCGTGGGTGGCTGAGTGGAGCCCACCTCTTGGCTGCACGTTTTTTCTCTCAGATAGAGATAGCGGGAAGAGTTTGGCCTGCAAGCAACTGCTCCCCATGGTTCTGACCCACAATGAGACGCTCTAAGTCCAAGATGAACTTTCTCCAGCAACTGGGCTATTTCGGGGGCAGGTGGGAGGCGGGGTGGGGTGAGGACCACCATCTGGGACTCCCTCACCACCTTATCCAAAAACAACACAGGCGGAAGCCGGGGATCGCATGACATCCTTTGGCTTCAAACTTGGTCTCAGGTTTGAAAGCCTCAAAGTCACCCCCATCTGATAACTCCCAGGCTTCAACAGCTCTGGGTCTGCAGCAATGCTCACCTTCCCAGCAAGACACAGAAGAGGCTTCCAGTGCCTCCACCCAGTGCCCACTGGAAAACAGGCCAAGAACCACATGGCAGTGGGTGCGGCCGCTCATTCGGCTGGCTGAATCCACAGCAGGGCCGGGAAGCACCCAGGCCTGATTGTGGCCGGGACTGGGGAGGGTGGGCAAGAAAGAGGCTGCCCTGGTCCCATTCTGGGCCTCCCCTCAGACTTGGGGAGCAAGTCTGGGGGAAGCAGTGAGGAGGGAGCTTTGTTCCAAGCATCCACCTCGTTCCTCCAGCAAGGGCAGGGGATGCTTTCGTGCTCCCCGAAGGGCTGGCGTCAAAAAGGATTAATCAGGGGACAGAAGCTCAAAAGGGCTCCCTCTTAAAAAAAAAAAAAATTAAAAAGGCTTCAGATCTGCAGGTGTGTGTGAACCTGCCCCAACCAGAAACAGAGCGTCTCCCTCCCCACCACCTCAGGCTGGCTTTGCAGGCAGCCAGTGCCTACTGGTATCCTCACCTGCCACCCCATAACAGACCGACACCCCTGAAATAAAAGCAAAAAGCTGGCGGTGGGCAAGCTGGGGAGATGTAAAGTCTTTGTTGTCTGATGCCCCGAAAGCCTGGGCAGATAATCACCCAGAAGTACTTCCTGGCTGCCTTTGGCTGCTCAAAGGTCTCAGCCTGTGTTTTTCTCTTTCAGCTTGTTTGCTTTCTTACCCCAAGTGCTCCTTGCTTGCTTTGCACATCCCCGCCCCCCAGAGCCCACTGGAATCCCACCACCACCTCTAGCCCGCCTGGTTTCAGATAATGATCTCGCAAAGATGCAGTTTGCAGCACCCCCCACCCCTGCTCTCAGCAGCTTCCTTTCTCAGAAGGCCTTGCAAAGTGTCGCAGAGGGCTCCGCTGCCCGACGTTTCAAAAAAAGAAAAGAAAAGAAAGAACACCAACTCAGTGATTTGCAGGTGCAGAGCAGAAGCCACCGTTCGACATTTTCACAACTATTGCGGCTGGCGCTCTTCCATCCCACCGGGAGAGAACACAGTTCAGGTACAGGCGCGCTGCTGGACCCCGTGGGAGTCCGCGGGGTCTCTACTGCTCCTTGTTTTCTTTCGTTTCTTCACAGTTGTCCTGCTCATCCTCCTGAACCAAGAACTCCTCAGGGGGCCACCGGAGCTCCCCGCTCTCCACCTCCCCCTCTGTGGGCTCCACCACGATGGAGGGCAGGCGGTCCTTCAGTTTGCAGCAGCGGTCAAAGTCTGACGGGTCGGGGAAGATCTGAAATGAAAGCAGAGCGAATGCTCGGTCAGGTGCAGAGCTGAGTAGAGAAATTCCATTCCTCATTTCACACGCAAGTGCAGGGGCCTCGGCCTCCTCCGCTGTGTTCCAGGGTGTGTGCTACACCCTGGGGGTGCTGGAGGGAGGGGCAGGAGAGGGGACACATTCTGGGGCAACAAGGAAAACCATCCCTCAGCTTATGGTTGGAAGTTTGCAGGCAAGTCTAAGAGGTGGCGTCGCTCTGTACCTTTTCTTTTAATTTTACCTTCAGATGAAAAAATGCAAAACCATGTCATCCACAGTTAAGTCACATCTCCTGTGATTTTCATCTCTGAAGGTCTCCCATCTCTTAGCTGCTTTCACCCCTGCAAGAGTCAACTTCGCTTTCCAGAGTCCCATCAAGTGAGGTTTCTTTTTTAAGACCTGCTCTGTGTCCTGCCCGGAGTTGGGAAAAACCCCAACCTGGATATAAAACCGACGGCCACACGTGGCTCTGCAGATTCCCTTTGCACACACTGCCCTGTGACTACAGCTGACCCAATTCTTCGCCTGGCAGCTTAAGTACTTAATCCAGTGGGCTGCCGGCCCTTGCCATTCACAGCCCTCTGCCACTCAGCTGAGAGCCAGAGGGGAGCCTCTGTCCTGGATGCTGGGCTCACCCAGACACAGAGGTGGAGAACCACACAGCACCTTCAAGGTCATCTCTCCCAACCTCTCCATCTGATTGATGAGGAAATCGAGGCCCAGAGGGATCACTCCCAAGGAGAATTGCTCAAGGTCACAGTTTGTTAATGGCAAAAGAAAGGAAAGCAAAACTAGAAGTGGGTGGAGACACATGTTTGAAGAAATTCTGACTCAGAGAGAGCCAGGCCCAGCCAACAGGTGCCTTATGTTCCCGGGAGGAAGAAGAAATGCGGTCCTGCAAACTCAGGCCTTCCCAACCTGTTCAATCTCCCTGCACCCCAAGCCCCAGCAGCGCTGTCCGTCACAGGACAGTCCATATCTCAGACTGCGTGGGGCTCCTGGGAATCATGGATTTCAAGGAAACGTCCCCAATCCCTGCAGACAAGTGATTATTAACCATTTATCCAATAAAGTCCTATTGCTGGGGATTAAGCCTTAAGCCAGCTGCACAACCAGGCATCATTAAAGACTTAATGAGGCTCATAAAAAGTATCATAATGGCAGCCAGGAGGAAAACGAGGCAGAGGAGGGTGAGGCCAGTGTGGGTCAAAGAAGGCATGGGAAATGCAGGCCCCCACAGAGGCTTTCTCCTCCTCATGCAGCCGACCCTGCAGCTCTGCTCTGGACTGGGCTGTGCACACAGACTCATGTGTGCTGAGCTGAGAAGGTCAAGTGGTTTTTCAGGGCCCCTTCTCACTTCTCATGTGAAGCTGGAGTCCCTCTCTGTGCAAGCTTTGGGAGTAAGCAAGGGGAGCCCCATCAAGTGGAACCAAGGCTCTTTCAGACATCCTATCCTTTAAGCCTGCCCTCCACCCCCATCTGAAGAGTGGTGATACTGGGATACCTGGAACTCTGGAGGGCATAGGGAAGAGCCAGGATTCAAAATTAGATCTGCTGCTTTCAGCAACTGTGTCTTTTGGAAAATGAATGGATACCTCTGGGGAAACATACCCATTTCACAGACTAGCCTGGGCGGGTAGGCAAGACTCTGGATTCTAACTGCCTCGGTGGTTACTAGAGGCCCGGGTTAAGGCGTCCAGATAACCAGTTGGGCACAGGCCCAGAGGATGAGCGTCCCAGTCCAGACACTTGTTCGCCCTCTTCAGGACCCAAGACAGAGCCGTGGGATGTCCAGAAGAGGTGGACACCTGGGCCTGCCTCTCCCCACTGACCCCAAGTCCAGCGCTGCATGCACTCTGTGACTCCCCAGCTGAGAGGGGGCAACCTGGTTCTAAGTATGGTCATCAAGGGAGCGTAAAGGGACAAGATCCAGGCCAAGGCCAGAGCAGGAGGAGGACATTAGGGTGGAGAGCATGTGATGCCATTGCGGGCTGGGAATAGGGCTTTCACTAAAATTAGGGGGCGGGGGATAATGACAAGGAAGATAGGAAGCTATGCCAGGCTCATATGCAGAGCAGGACCTCAATCTTCACAATAACCCTATGGCTTATGTAATAGACTGATACCTATTTTATAGATGAGGGCACTGAAAGCACAGAGAGGGTAAATCACATGCTCAGGGCCACACAGCTGGGAAATAACTGAATGTGGGCCCACATTCAGACATGTAGGACTTCCAGTGAGGCATTATTTGATAACACACTGTCAAGCCACAGAACCCAGAGTGTCACTCTGTCCTTGGAAGGCATCCCTGGTAGAACCCCAATTCAGTCCTCTCACTGCCTGCACCTCAGTTACTCCTTTTGAGAAAGCGACCTTCTTGTCTCACTAGATGGATACAAGTTCTTGGCAAAAATAAAGATGCTTTGAGGACAGATGCTAAATTCAAATTGGAATGTCCCCTTTGGAGCAGTTTCAACAGAACTACGATAAGTATTCAATCTCCAAACAAGAGGCAGCAATACTAACACGGTAATTAAAATAACTTCAAACAATGCCTTTCATACCAGGCGCTGCACAATTAAGTCTTTTAAGTCCTTGGGGGAAGTCTGAGCATTGAACTTCTGATACTGCTTAGTTGCCAGAGAACTTTGCTCCTTGAATTGCTCTAAGCAGGAGCTATTAATTAAAAAAAAAAAAAAAAAGATTTTTTTAATAAAGCCTGTTAATTGTACTTTAAATTTTATAATTTATGATTATAGTTTATAACTATTTAACCCTTCCATCAGAGATCTTATTTTATGATCAGATAATACCAATTTAAATCTCTGAAAATTATAGCTGTCTCTAAAAATAAACAAAATGCTCCCGGAACCAGTTTCTCATTTCCTTACATACTGACAGAAAGCCTTGCAAAGTGCTGCTGAGTATTTTGCCAGCACAATCTTATCTCCGACAGCTGCTTAAGAGACTGACCCCAAGGAGGTCAAGATTTTTCCACTAAGTCATGCTTTTTAATCATCTAGGCAGCAGAAAAATGAGAGGTTGCAACTGCAATTTGACTGGGTGGGGAAGGCAGTGGAAAAAAGGACTCAAGTCAGACTTGCCAAGCACATGACAGGTAGGTTTGAGGTGGCAGGCCAGCCCAGCATGCTGTCTGCCTGCAGGAACTGGCAGGGAATAAAGAACTGCCCCTGTTCCAAAAAGAAACTGCTTCTGGTTAAACCTCTTACCGCAAAGCACCTCTTTTCTCTGGACTAGGGAAAAGGCAAAAGCACAAAAAATCCTTTTCTCTTCCCTCTAAGGGTAGGTCATCTCCAAGAAGCCCACCAAGGCAGATGGGGAGGGTCTGAGAGGCATTTCTACCCTCCCCCCAGGGGAGGGCAGATCTAGAAGCATCTGTCGAGCTGTGATTCTCGCAGCCCTGCTTGGGACCACAGCCAGCTACGGACTTCACATACAGCTGTCACATACAGTCGCCAGGGCGGGTGGCTCGGCTGAAACTAATGGACACCAGTTCCTTCCTTTGCAAATAAAGTCTTCAAGATCAGAGACACTGAAAAAATGCCGGGGCCTGCGTGCCCCATGGTACAGGAAGACTTGCAAACCTGGTGTTGGTGAATTTCAATTTCATAAGAGGCACATTTTCAGAGCCTCCTTCAAGGTGGCCTTCAATCCCAACAGACCCTGACGTGTTGGGAACTCAAGTGACCTGAAAGGTCAGCATTGCTGACCTTTAGAACCATCTACAAGGAAGAAACAGTTGGTGAGCTATAATTTGGATGCCAATCTACTGGAATTTCTGGTTGTACAGATCAGAACTACCCAATAGAACTTTCTGTGTAATGGAAATGTTCTCCACCTGTGCTGTCCAACAGTAGTGATAGCCACATTTGACTAAAATGTTTAGGTTTCTTTAATTTCTAACACAAATTTATATACGTAAATAGAACACAAGGAGCTACGTGTGGCTAGTGGCTACTGCACTGGACAGCACACATATTAAATGGTTAAATAGAAGGACGATGAAGGCAGGAACACTCAGGAGGTTGGGCTGATGACCCAGCATCGGCAGCCTCAGAGCAGAGTATCTGTGTTGAGGGTAGACTTGGGAGATAAGGAATGAGCAGGCTTTTTGCTGAAGTATGAAAGCTGCCGATCAGTCAGCTCCCATTTCACCCATGCAGAGGAACTGAAAGGCAACACCCAGGGTCCAAAGGTCTGAAATTTGGGGACCCAGCTATCAACTGTCTGCGTCTTAGCCAGGTGACCTAAACCTGGCTGCCTCTGGGGGGTGGGGGGGGGCGAAGAGAGAGAGACAGAGAGAGAGAGGTGGGGGGAGTCTGGCACCTAGGATGGAAAATGTGAGTGATTCTGGTTGGAGCAGTCCTCGCCTGGGTGCATGCATCCCTCAGCCACCATCCCTGACAAACAACCTGAGCTGGCCACAAGGAGGGCGTAGGGCCCGCAGAGCTGGGAGATGCTAACAGGGAAAGCAGACACCAGCAGGCGGAGGAGATGAAAGGTGGTTAACTGGACACAAAGGGCTAATTACCAGCTCTGCAAGCTGAGACCCTGGGAGCTTGGACATCCTGCACCTCTTGCTGGGGTGTGTAGAGAGGAGAGGTGGGGCAGAGGGCCTAACATGAATAACCACTAGTTTCCCAGGCGCTGAGAGGAATCTGCCTCAGCAGACAAAACCACCTATTAAGCCTCTCCCCTCTCTGGCTCCAGAGGGGAGGAAATCAACCTCAAACCTGCTATGGAAAATCACCAGTCCCACAGGTAGAACAGGAGTCTGACAGGCCTGGCTGTCCCCATGCACCCCTATCCTATTATCCCCATGACCTTGATTATCATCTTAACTTCACTGAGTCTCAGCTGCCTCCTGAATAAATTGAGGGAGGAACTTCCACATTGCAGGACCATAAGGCGGACCACAGGATACTGCCCGGTGAGCCCCACCACAGCCCTTG